AAATACGATAACCTGTGGGAGTTCTCGACCAATCACCAGACAGCAAGTAAGCATACGAATTTGACATCTCTGAGGGCTTCCGTGAGACTAAAGCGTTGAGAAGATGTCAAACACAAAAATATGTTTCTGCAAACTTTCGTGTTATCATCGTACAGTTGTGCAAAAAGTGCCCCTACCATCGTCTTTCCCCTCTAACCGCTTTAAATCCACCTCTACGGCAGCCGCCGCCTCAGTGTGCTGCCTGCGGCTTTGTGCGCGACTGTATCCCGTCAGAGGCCGACCGCCGCCGGCCAGGAGTCGCGCTCCTCCCCGCGGAATCACATGGGAAGTTCGGCTGTGAGTTTCCCTCTTAATCACAGCCCCGTATCTCCACAATGAGCACCTCGGCCCTGTCAGCCTGCAGAGGATTGTTGTCATGCTTGTCTTTTACTTTGCTGGGCAGCTTCTAAAAGCAGGAAGACCGTGCAACAAAAGTTAACGCTGCAGGAAGTTTAATGCGGCTTTCTTCCTGTGAGAGGAGGGACTTGGATGCTAATGACCCTTTTTCACGCCAGCATGCTGGAAGCAAAGTGCAAGAGTGGCTGAAACAAGGTAGTACCCACGAGGGTCACTCTTTAATGATGTTACAGTGAAATGTTTGAAATTAGTGTCATATTTTTAAAACGTGGGATTTTTATGCTTCCTGATTACAGTCATTATTTCCTTCTAGAAGAGTAAGACTGAAAATTGTGTTGTGAAAATTTATTTTTACTTCTTCACCTCCCTGACACACACCCACACACACACTCAGTCTTGACGTCGTCTGAACATGAAATCAATTCTCACATTAAATATATTATAATTTAATTTTAAGTCCCTCCACTGTGACTGTAAAGACATTTAGATCCCAACCATATGACAACAAACACACGTTGTCCTCCAGCCTATTGTCCTGTCTCTGGAGTGTCCAGTCTTTGGCCAGACATCACACAGCTTGTTGAGGTAAGGTTTTCCGTCAGACTTCTCATGTCTACTTTGACCATGCATTATTGAGCAGGTCTTTACAGCTTATGCAATCACGAAGCCAGACAGTTGCTTTGATGGCACAACGGCCTGAAATTAGAGAGTCGGGTCTGTGTTTCTATTTTAACTTTCAAGTACATCTGATTACATTCAAATCAGTCAGATTACATCCAGTGTGCCACGGCACTGTTCAGTCCATTTTAATGCAGCCTCTCTTTGTTTGCCCTTCCTAATTAACATGGATGCCAATGGCTCTGGGCAATGAATCATATTAATTTGTAATTGAAATGTAAATTAATCATTGGTGCAATGTGTAGTTGGCTGTGTGTGCTTCAAGGTGTCAGGTCACGAGAGTGGGCAGGAAGAAGTGGGAAAGTGAGATTGAAACTATGTCCATAATTGCACAGATGCATATTTAAACACACATTTTTTAATTATATAAATTCCACCACTATTCACAGACAAATTGAATAAATAAAAGAAAGGGGGGAATAGAGGAAGAAAGAATGACAGGTAACGTAAGAAACATTTAAATATAAATGTTCAGTTGCTGATAAGGCTTCATTTGAGAGGCAAAGAGACAGAGAAAAGAGATCTGTATTAGTCTGTAGGTTCTGTTGCAGTGAGGTGGAAAGTTACCTGAGAGATTTGGAGGAGAACAGGTTGTCCAGATTTGATGTCTGGCAGGTTTGCCTTCCTCTTCTCATGTGTGCCTTGAGACGGAAAACTGATAGAAGATGACACTCACAGTTTGAGTGTGAGGGTGTGTGAGTGACAGAAACTGAGCCTGATGGACTCTGACTGATGTAGACAGTCTGTTCCCAGAAAAGATGCACAGGTTGGACTCGCATCACTCCAGCACTCTGGGACAAAAGCAAGCGAAGATTATTATTCCACCATTGCTGTTTCTTTCTTTTTTT